CTGGCTGAGTGTATCGACCAGCCGCCTCGGCTCCACTGGACCGAACACACAAGTTGGTGAACTAACTCGGCGTGCACAACTCCACCTGTGTACTCTCTATTTTCTGGCAGAAAAGCTTCTGTCCTCCTGCACCGTCTTGCTTGACTTGTGATTTGGGGGAACCTTCTGTTTGTCGACATCACAAATTCCGACACCCTCTTATTTTCTTTTTCATGAACACACTCCTTTTTTGATAAGAATTGAACTTATTATCTACAAATGGATTATTGGACCTTTATTCGAGCACAGAAGATCTGATTGGTGAACGCGTTAATGGAAGAAGAGGTTGTTGACTGTAGCTGAGTGAAGTTTTTTGCCATAAACACACATTTTCCCTGTGTTCACCAAAATGCTGTTCTTTAAACTATTCAAGAAAGAAGAAAAGGAGATATATTTTGCGACAATTTGGATGCAAGTTATTTTCAAGTAAGGAGGAAGGAAAGCGCCAGTGCGTGTGTGTGAATCAGTACAGAATTATGAGGACTTCCTCTACTGGAATTCTTCATCCACAATTGGCGTCGCTTCGGGAAGGTTCTTCACGGTCTTCTCAAATAGGGCCAGTTGTTCGAGACAGTGCCAGTTCGGACGCAGGGCCAGGTATACGCATTTCATGTAGCGCCACGCCTCCTAAAAATAAGACACAATTCCCAAAGTGATTTCGACAGCTCAGAAGCATCCACATTCAAAGACTGCCTTAGTTTGCGGAGGGTTTTATATAAAAAAACACCTGCCCCGAGTACTTTACTATGACGACAACATAGGCACTAACTGAAAGCCCAATTACATGTTTCGGAATCAGGCTACAAATTTATCTGGACTGATTTAAGAAAAAAAACTAATTTGTGGACAATGCCTGCTGCAAGTATAGTACTCAAAAATTATAAATACCCAAGAAGAAGGTGTACAAGACAGGAGCTCAACAAAAGCCGTGAACTAGTGCTGCACATTCGCAGTTAGAGTAGACAGTAAAAATTTTTATAGACTCAAGTTGGCTTATGAGTTTTGCAATTTCTCGAGTCGATACAAATGTACATAGGTCACTTTTTTCCTACAGTAGTACTTACTGCAGTGTGCCGGTTACCAATAATTTCTGCTAATTTCCACTGCATGGGCGTCCAAGAAATAAAATCACCTGCGAACATGTTGTTATCAGGTCCTCCGGATAAAAAAAATGATGACCGAACCTCTTGGGACTCTGAGGCTGTTTATAATTACTCGGTCTTCTAACTACAAACGATCCAGAGGAGTCTCCGCTCAGCTACCCCCTCAACTTTACGATAGCGGTGACAGGCACCATCCAGGATTTTAACTAGCAATGTGCCTGAAAAAAAATTACTGTTGTTAGATGCCATACAGTAATTTACGGCGGCAAAATAACTCTCAAATATCATTGTTATTAACGCTGTGGAGTACAACTATGCCGAGAGGAGAGCGGCCCACCTATGAGTGATTCCTGACAGATAGCTAACCCCTTTGAAGGTGCTTTTAAAACAGGTGGATTATTTCTGAATGTTTAAGGTTTCTCCCAGATTCTTCTGTTCACTGTGGACAACTCACAGAAGAGACAGTGGAACCTTAGTTAACGAGTTTAATCCGTTCCGACACTGTTCTCTTTATGTGAAACGTTCATCTTGTGAAAAGTAGCCAATCAAATTGAACTAGTTTACTAATTGGCTGCAGGTGACCAAGGGCCCGCGCCCTCAGGCGGACACAGGCATACACCCGAGGCTCCGCTGTACTCGTGTTTTTGGTGCTACGTTGCCACCGTAATTTTCTATTGAAAATCAAATTAGCATTCTTCCCGCGTTCCCACGACTATCGATTTATCTGGGAAGATTTCTGTTCAGCGAAATCGTGCATAATAAAAAGGAGACACTAAGTAAGCAGAGTTAAAATGGACACATTTTTAACTTACTCACCTTTAATGTCATATTTTCTTCCTTTATCAGGTAGGCCATAGCAAGTGTTGGTCCACGACTGAGGTACTTGTCTGCAACTATGAGTACCCGATGGACGCGATTTTTATTCATTTCTACAAAAAATTAAACCCAAAGAAACAGGAAAAAATATCACCAGTTTGTACTTTTATAAACTAATTACTTGTTGGCGTGGGTTTTAGAAGTACGAAACGCAGCCCAAAGACGCCCATCATGGGAAGGACAAAACCACCAATCTCTCGTATTTGCACCGGCTGCTCTAACTAGCTGAGATGCTGCGCGAAAACTCAACACATCATTAGGACCTGCGTTTTCTGGCGGCGCGAGCCTTGCGCTTTCCTTATGCTGCATCAAAAGACGTTTGTAAATACGAGTGAAAATGTGCGTCCCAGGAGGCAATTGAGAAGACGATGTAGGCTGTATCGCTGGGCGAGAACTTTATTCGTATGACGTTTCGGGGTCCAGCTCGAAGTAATTTTCAGAGAAAACATCAGATGAGGGTAGTCCTTGGAGAGGATGCTATAGTATTTATTAGACTGCAATCGCTGGACTTCTGTGTAGTTATGGTAATTAACGGCCCCCTTCAGATGCAGAAGGTGCGATCGCGGCAACAAGAAGTCTATTTGTCTGACGGTTCGGATTCTGTGGAGAATCCTTAATCATAGATAACTGTAGAATAATGTGAGACATGCACAGATTGGGCAGCATTTGTAGGTTGCAGCGGCCATCCGGATGCGCACTATAATTATCAGCTCCTGTAATCACCACGGGGTCGCAACTACTGCGGTGGTGGCTTGACAGTTCGCTTTCGAGCCATTAATTACCGCGATTTCGTTATCCGTGTTGGATGCGGGCTTGATAATTGCTCGACAATCATGTTTGTTGTCGTCGGAGGTGTTGATGAGCCCGGCTTTTCCCACGTGACAGATTCTCCTGCTCAGGCAGTGTCTCAGTACGCAGTACAGGAACGCCAAGTCGTTGCGCTTGTTGATGGACGGTGAACCTGAGAACCATGACT